ATGGAAGAAGGCCGTTTTAGAATTCAAGTTCGGCATAGACTAAAAAAAAAAAAAAAGCTTTTGAAAAAAAGTCCAACAAAATAATAAAGAGTTCTCATGAAAAGCACATTTTTTTTAGTAGTTTGATATACCCGACGTGGAATCAAGAATTACGCTAGTAAGAAGATATCATTAAGGTAAAGATCAGCGAGAATATGCCAACCTGTTTTGTCTACGTTTGTAAAATTCGTAAAGTTTTTTTTCGTTGTTTTCCTCTATGAGAAAGATTCATCAATTTCATTGGTTGACATACCAAATGTGGTTAACTAATTGTGGCTAGGATTTCATAAAATCCGAGTTTATTACCATAAATAATACCGGTAGTAAAGTGTTTTTTGTTTGATAAATGATCGCTAACTAATAAAGATGCAACAAGCATAATGATTAAGTTAACGTGGTTTAGGACTATTGAACTTTAATAAGGTAACAATCGATATTGATGATATTGATGATATTGATGCAATAAGTATAATGATATAATGGATATAATGATATAATGGATATAATGATATCAATACGTATTAAGTATATATTTATTGATGTACTGTATTTAAGATGTTTGACGTTTTATCAGTTAGCGTTAGTATACTAACTCTAATGCTTAATGTCAATATAAAGTTAATCGTCGGTGGGACTCAAATTTTTATTGCAACAAATTAACCGTATTAATACGTACTGTATTTCTATGACATAAGTGTATTAATATTTTTAAAATATTTTAAGGCAACTTGTTTCGTGATCAAAGAACATTATTAGAACATTAATTAGAACATTAATTAGAACATTAATAATTAAAATGTTTATTAATAATACAGTCCATTTTCAATGTGCCTGCACTAAAATGCAAGTTTTTGGTCCCAAGTAGATGTATAAATATTTTACTTTCTTAAATGGACTTTTTCGAAAGAGTCGAATATACTGTTTTATATATAACTGTATAATGATCTGCAGTTGATTCAATTTTTGGTAAATAAATATTCACATGATTTACAATGCAATTCTTTGTCCCTTTTTGATCTTACAAGTTTCGACTTATTTCATTATTTACATAACGATAATAATAAAGAAAAAATGCCCGAATGTACGCATCCAATAGTTGGTGTCGGAATATTTGTAATTCGAGGAAACAAATTCCTGATTGGTAAAAGAAAAGGAAGTCATGGACCCGGTATTTGTCGGTATTTGTCAGTATTTGTTCGGTATTTATCTGATATCTTATCAATCTGACAATGAATATGATTTTCTCAAATTTGATACATTGTAAATATAAATGAAAGGATCTTGGCAGCTTCCTGGTGGTATGAAATCATATACAAGTATACGAAAGTATACGAAAGTATACGAAATGATTCCATTAAACAAACATAAAATATTCAACAAACTTCAATTTCAAAAATCTATTTAAAGGAACTTTAGAATTCGGTGAATCTTTTGAAGACTGTGCAAAACGTATATAATTTGAAATTCAATAGTTTTAAATTCAATAGTTTGAATTTCTTTCGTCTGGATTTTGTTTTTTTTCATGCCTTTGTAAATTTCATTATTCTTTAGGTGAGGTATTTGAAGAAACAAACCTCGAAATCACCAATGTAATCTATCAGACTGTAACCAACAGTGTAATGGTAAATGAAAATAAGCATTACGTAGATATTTTTATGCGTGCTGAAGTTGTTGATGTGGATGCTGATCCTTTGGTAACATTTACGTGTTTCTTGACTTTTCAATTACAATTAACGATAATAAAATTTATCATTTGATAACAATAATACGTAGGTAATGGAACCCAACAAATGTGAAGGTTGGGAATGGGTAACATGGGATGAATTTATACAAGGTGGTATTACTGGTACTGAAAATATTCAGAGCGATATTCAGAGCGATATTCAGAGCGATATTCAGAGCAATATTCAGAGCAATATTCAGAGCAATATTCAGAGCAATATTCAGAGCAATATTCAGAGCAATATT